TAAAGGTTGTATAGGGACAGAAGACCATTTACAGTTGTAACCACAAAGGCCGTCTTTGATTTTTGAGCAAGAATTGTTTTTCTTGAGAACGTGCTGACAAAGGTGGAAGGAATTGGAACAAAGAATGATAGTTTTAGGATTGATTGGTAATAATGCATTGGAGCATTTTGGAGAAGAATGGAATGGCTAAGTATGGGATATGGGAAGGGATCATTGGGCTTATTGTGGAGCGGTTTGAAGCTTTTAAAAATACTAATGCATGAAAGCTTGTATCAGCCAGAATAGCATGTATAGGGATGCAAATTAAAGTGAAAGGATATTAGGAACAAGTAACAGGCTTTTCAAAGGCCACATCTACGTGCCAAATATGAGAGAATGATTCACATTTCATTGCTCAGAACGTCCACTTGTAAAACACCCAATGATCAGAGAGCTCCATCCCACCTGTCCTGTTCCTCATCACAACTTGTAGAAAGCACCTGTGGTAATAAGGTTGTGCTGGGGATTTCCTTTTGTAGTCAGGCTTCTTGATGTGTTACCAATTATTTGAGATGACCGAATATATTAGGAATCGATTTAACACATTGTGCAGTAGTGGAGTAGAGGGATGAAGAGCAAAGGAGCAAAAATTTATGTAGGAGAGGAAACATGAGTCCCAAAGGGGAAAGCTTAGCTGGAGCAGTGCGTTGGGAATTGGATCTGACAACTTCAACAGTGGAGCATGTTGTATGTCCAAAAACCAGTATAGTTAGACGATTGAGATGTAATTATGCATGGATGAGCGTATCTAGATGACCCCTGCAGTTTTTAACTGTAGAGAACTATTCATAAAGGCAGCAGTTTGCAGTACTTGGGTTATCTGAATATATGTTTCAGTTGCCATGGAAAGCAAGCAACTTTGTTTTTTACTCATGAACGTGGGGATCATTGGTAAGGCCAATATTTATTACCTATCCGTACATTTAAGAAAATGCTAGAGGACAGTCTGCTTGAATAAAGTTGAATAGTTTGTGAGGGCATTTTCTGATTGCGTCTAAAAGTCAGCTACATTTTTGGTCTGGAATCATAGTGGTCAAACAGGTATGAATGACAGGTTGCCTTTTCCAAAGAATATTGGTAATCTAGTTAGATTTTTACAGCATTTCCATAGCTTCGTGATCACCATTATTGATGCTAGTTTTAATATTTCTGTTTTATTCAATTCACGAACATTGAATTGCTCAACGACTATGGTGGATTGAAGTTGCATCTTTAAATCATTTGTGCAGGCTTCAGAAGGGCTCTAACATTATCGCTATGTCTGAATTCAGTATTTTACTTATTCAAATAATGGCTTCGGTGTTGGAGACCATTACAGCCTATACAGACATGTATTATGTGTTAATATTATAGCTATTGTAATGTAACATTAAAACATGTTGTTTTCCTGAATTAATACAGCTACAAGTCATTCATCAGAAACTATGCTCCTATTAAACAATTCAGCTTCTTCCATAGCTGAAACTTGCATCATTGATCAGCTGCTCTGTAGGAAAAGCTTTAATAAAATTTGTGCCTTGAACAATATGACTAATTGGAGTCCCCCAATGTTATCTTGTTCTTGAAATGTACCAACCTTTATTGCTTTCCACGTCCTCAACTCTGGCTTTGAAGCCAATGAATTAGTTTTGAAGTGTTACTGTTATTTTTGCATATGTGCCAGCATACTTCTATACAATGAAGTGTCCGCAGAGAGTCATCAGCAAATTAAATATTGGGCTGAGTCTTGTATGATTTTTCTGGATAGTTGCGAATTGTCTCGTACTTTTTTAAGAGAAATTCTCAACATGAGACCCAGCGAGATTACTTGTCATATCTTGCTAAATGTATCTATTAACCATCTACTCCACTCCTGTGAAATCTTTCACGTCCAATTCTTTCTCCAGCTTACTATCCGCTGTTCCCAAACAATTTGCTTCTTACTGGATATCATCGACTTACCAGTCTTCCTTGTGTTGGTGCCTTCCCTTAAAAGCTTGCAATGCACCCAGACATGCACCATCAGTTAGGAGCTGTGCTGCATGTTTCCTGCTGGATGTGGCAAACTGCGAAGTGGCCGCCTGCTTTGCAGGCAATGACCTGTAGATCCTTCTGAAAGGAGTGTGCAGGTACAGGATGTCCTCTTTCCCCCAGACCAGCGGTGGAGGCTGTGACACTAGATCTTTACAAGCCTGGTTTGATATTGCCGTTCAGGTCAGTGCAGCCTCTGCTATCTGAAGGAATGACCAGCAGTGTAGGAAGAATGTCAACTAAAATTGTCAACCTCTTCATTCTGTCAGTGTAACTGCTATTATATTCTCTCCAGTACCTCGCACTCACGCTTTTTCTGCTACTGTACCCATCTTCCACTAAAGTTCATGCTCTACCACTCTCAATATAGTCTGCAACATCTTGCTGTCCCTGACGCTATTAATTCTGCACAGCCTACTCACTTGCTTGGGAGACCTCCGCACCAGCACAGAAAGCAACAACTGTGCCATTGACTTTCATCTCCCTTAACACTTGCCTCTGTCTCTTTCGTTCCAGGAGAAAAACAGCCCAGAATAGGGCAGATATTCAACCTTCCAGAAGAGAGGACCCTGACTTTGACTGCATACAGTGACTAACTATGTCTAAGCCCCTGGACCGGTATTGAAGGCTGCCCTTGATGTACTGTCCCAGGACCCCCTGAGCACAGGCTACCTTACTTGGCTTGCTGAGTGCTACTGAAAGCCACGACAGGCTTCCTGGTTTTGTGTTTGCGCTAGACAGCAAGGCCAGGAGAGGTTCTGTGAGTGTCCAGGTAGATTGAGTAAGTGAGTGTTGTTACAACATTCGAACAGGTTGGCGCTGCAGCCTGATACAGTCCCTGAACTGGGTGCATGTCCCTCAGTATGCCATGTCCTTGCAGCAGCATTGCAGTGATAGGTTCTGGTGCAGCACTGAAGTGTAGAAGCATACTATAAGTGAATTGGAGATTTGCCACAAGGGTAGCACATGTCAAATGCCAGTGTTTGAGGACAAGAGGTGTCTATAGTGCGATCCTTGAGCCTTTGATGCCCAGTGCCCAACTTGAAGCTTGTTTACAGCCTGCAGTGAATTGAAGTCACCTTCTCTGACTTCCATGTCAAGAATCCTTGACATTTGGCTTGTTTATCACATTTAGTAAGATGAGAAGTTGGATGTGAATGAGATGGTTTGCGGCATTAAGGCACTTAACAAGCTACAATTGCTCCTTAATTGGCAATTGCTGCTGCTTAGCGAGAAACCTCACGTATGCAAAAGCATGAAAGATGGAACGAGATGCTGCTGACATTGAGAGAGATCTTGCCAGATTTTTTATCTAATTCTGTCAATAAGCTTGTCATAGTCCACATTGCTTAGACCCCCATAAGAATCCGCCCATGTGGTTTGATAGTGCAGTCTGAGGAATAAATATTTACCAGAGCACCAGGAGAACACCCTTTCGGTTGTGTTGTGGGATCTGTTGCATCAACCTGAACAGGCTGGTGTAAGATAATAACCTCTGAAAATATTCCATCATTACAACACTGGCAGTGTCAGCCAAAATGATGTGTTCAAGTAATAGAGTGGATCTTGACATGTGACTGTTCAATCTTGCAATGAAAATGTCATGTCCAGTCAATGGTTGATTATTGAAAACATCGTTTGATTACCCAAAGTTAAAACTGTACTTAAAACAAGAAATCCTTATCTCTGCTTGAAAGTATGTTGATATTAAAAATGAGTACGTTTGATTTATATTTAACTTCTAATTTACACTACTGATAGGCTTGTATGCGCATTACTTTTACTGGTGATAATTTATGCAGAATGTTTGTTAATTCATTTCTTCAAGACTTCCTAGAAACGGGCTAGAGAGCGTTGGTGGGACTGTCTTTCAGTGAAGTGATAATCCCAGATGGCACTTTGTAAATTTAGAAGTTGCTAATACCATTGACATATATGTTACTTAGGTTTGTAAAATTCTTGTGCATGAACTTACATTTTTCATTGCCATTTTTGTTTTGTAACATAAGAGATAGGAACAGGAGAAGACCATAGGGCCTTCAAGTCTGATCCTCGATCCAGTATGATCATGGCTGATCTTTGGCTACAACTCAACTTCAAGTGACCGATGCTCCCTCAATACCCTGCCTCTCTCAGCCTTAGCTATAGTCAATATAGCTAGTCGGCGTAGAACCACAATTGTCCGGGGTAGACAATTCCTAGGATTTACAACCTCTTGGTGAAGTAAATTGTCCTCATCTCAGTCCTGAAAAGAATGGCCTCTTGTCCTGAGATTGTGGCCCTCTGCTATAAATTCCCCACCTAATGGAGACAACCTTCCTGTATATGCACTATCAAGCCTCTTTTGGAATCCTGAATGCTTAAATTAGATCACTTGACATCCACATTCCAGAGAGTATAGACCCATTTTACTTAGCATCTCGTTGTTGAAACACTTTCATCACAGGGACCAATCTAGTGAACCTTTACTTGACTGCCTTCAGTGTGGAGATCCAATCTGCACACACTCACCAACACCTTGTATGATTGAAGTGAGACACCGTTATTTTTACAATAAATTCCCTTACAGCAACATTATTGAACTTAAAGAGTAAAATTTAAATTTATAAATACTAACATGACTGTTTGTTTTCTGTACTTTGAATATTTTAGCTTTCAAAGCTAGTCACAGGTGTTTCAATATACAGTTAGTTGTTGTCAGTGGATAATATTACACTGTGTACCTTCCCATTTCTGACACTGTTCATGTAAAGAATGCTACCCATGCTATAATGAGATTTTTTAAAAAATAAATGAACTGCCTGAAGACTTTGGCCACCAAATGCACTATTGGAAAGTGTATGCTGAGTTAAAACTTCCATTTCATTGCTGAGATACGTTTTTAGATTTTTTGGAAGATGCACTGTACCTGCTACCATGTCCCATTTTTATTTTTTTTTTAAATCTTGCAGGAAATTACTGAGCTAAAAAAAGAAAACTTTAACCTCAAACTTCGCATTTACTTCCTGGAAGAGCGGGTGCAACAGAAGTTTGATGATGGCAGCGAGGATATCTTTAAGATGGTAAGAGATTAAAATCATGCTCATATATTTTAATGCAAGTTATGTGCATACTTACCAATACATGAAGATAACCTAATGAACTCTTGCCCAGCTTTAAGCTAACTGATGTCTGTAAAGCAGGATTTTTGTTTCATTATTTAAAATAAGTTTATGCTACAGATTTGCGGGAAATTATTAAAAGTAAATCTAGAGGCTGAAAACACTCAAGCTAAGTAGTCTCTCTCTGGTGAGAGAAACTTTTCAGGTCAGTGACCATCCATTCAATTCTGGTGGCTGTCATTGACAAGCCTCAAAAATGACTACCAAAGCGGGTCAGAATGTAGTTATTCTTTTGGCAAGTGATTCACTTGCATCCATTTTGGCTTGCTAACATATTTCATTTGTGTCCTAGCTACAGTTTTCTGTACACCAGGATCAGTCCTATGTATGTCATTGATGTGTATATTTTACCTTTGCAATGACCTTGCTGTCAGATTACCTGTCTATCATCAAGGTGTGAGGTTGGATTTCATGTCACTTACTACCAGCAAGTCCAGAATGTCCCGTCTCGTGCCTGCCAGCGACTCCACATTCTAATCCCTGCTACTATTTCCTCCTCATTGCCCACTAGCCTTCTGAGATTCACATTTCATATCTAGTTCATCACCAAGAATTTCCTTCTCTATCTTCAAGTTTCACTACCTCTTAAACACTTGACCATGTCCTCGTCATCCTAGATCAATGTTCCTAATGATGGTTGTAGTTAAATGTCGATTTCATCCAGAATCTCTGGTTCCTGTATTATGTAAATTCTGTCTCTCCTGATAATGCGCCATCTTTTATAACTTCAATTGGCTTCCATTATTTGATGCATTTAATTTCCTCACTGCACCACTTGTCACCTTGGAGATTCTCTCCTTTCAAACCTAATCTATTACACAGAACTTTGGGATGGAAATGGGTCAAGAGCAACCATCACCTGATCTTAATCAGCCTTCATTCCTCCTGAGTTTTACACAGCCATCAAATAATTTGGGATATTTTGCTACAGTAACTACACTGCATATAAATTCAGGTTATGAAAGCTAAATGCCAGAATAATGTTTTCTTTGTAAAATATGTGCCCGTGACAGAAATTTTATCTATAATCTGATGATGACTAATGTTACTATTCACAAGATTTTGCATTCTGTTTGTGTGTGTATGTGTTAATTAATGGTGAATTGGGTTAGAAATCTGATTTTAAAATTTCTAAATTCTTAACATCTTGTACATGTATTAAACATCCACTCATTAGTATTTTTTCTTAATTTAAATCTCTCCATCATCAAAATGCAAAACCCAGCTCGACTAACCATTTGTGCTTAGTTTTGGTGCAAAGAGGATACTGTGAATAGCTTCTGTGTGATACCACGTAATCTGCTGTTATACGAAGACCTGTGATAATCTCTATATTAGATGACAAGGTGTCGAGCTGGATGAACACAGCAGGCCAAGCAGCATCAGAGGAGCAGGAAGGCTGACGTTTCGGGCCTAGACCCTTCTTCAGAAATGCAATTGTTAGTCTAGCTGGGTTTTGCATTTTGATGATGGAGAGATTTAAATTAAGAAAACAAACTAATGAGTGGATGTTTAATACATGTACAAGATGTTAAGAATTTAGAAATTTTAAAATCGGATTTCTAACCTAATTCACCATTAAGTAACACATACACACACAAACAGAATGCATTTCTGAAGAAGGGGCTAGGCCCGAAACGTCAGCCTTCCTGCTCCTCTGATGCTGCTTGGCCTGCTGTGTTCATTCAGCTCTACACCTTGTTATCTCAGATTCTCCAGCATCTGCAGTTCCTACTATCTCTGAAATAATCTCTATATTGTTTCCTTTTACTCACTGTGGAGGAACACTGTTATTGTCTTTGGCCAATTTTTGTTAGTTCGGGTTGGCTTGCATAATGCATGCACTTCCACACTTGCTTATCTATATTCCATCAGTGATGCAGATATTACTCCAGATTGAATGGAATTCAATGGAAAATGGAATATTTTTAATATTTTGACATAAAGTATTTTAATTTGCTGAAATAATTATTTTACTAAGTGCCAAATTTTATTGGAAGCTGTTGCAGTCAATTTTAAGCCGTCGATCCTTATTTTAAAAGCATGAATGACAGCTGCAGTATCATGAACCAGGACATATTGTTCAACTTGTATTTCCACAGAGGTCTTGCATCCATTGTACTTCATTGAACACTGAAAGCTGGTGCCTTAATATTCTGATTGGTTAGCTGCAATTTGACAGTTTCATCTCTTGTTGATAACTGGTGGACTTTCTTTTTATAGAATATTGAACTCAAAGTGGAATTGGAGAGTTTGAAGCGTGAACTGAAGGAGAAACAGGAACTTCTAGTCAAAGCTTCGTAAGTACTGGTTAAATATTAAACATGGTTTAACATTTTAATTCTGTTTCAAAAGACCCAAGAGTCACTCTTATAAGTTTCTAAATCTTCCATAGTCAATGTATGTTTCAATTTTTTTTAAAATTTGGAGTACAAAACAGTATTACAGTTACATATTTTCCCTGAGCAATATTTTAAAAGGTGTCCCCTTTTCCTTTGCCCTTTTATATACAGTTCACTGATACTGAAACCATATCAAGTATTTATTCTTGACAAATGAGCCCACATACTATTGTCAGCAGAGTATTCGGCCATACAGAACATCATAACAAAGTCTGATCCTATCCTGACCTAAAGTCCACAATCATACTCATCTTAGTGTCATCTGAAGAATGGTAGAGCAAAGTGTGCAGAGGACACTGAAAGTCTGCAGCGGGATATAAATAGTCTAAGTGAGTGGGCAAAGGTCTGGCAGATGGAATATAATGTTGGTAAACGTGAGGTCATCCATTTTGGCAGGAACAACGGCAAAACGAACTATTATTTAAATGATGAAAAATTGCAGCATACTGCTGTGCAGAGGGACCTGGGTTTCCTTGTGCATGAATCATAAAATGTTGGTGTGCAGGTGCAGCAGGTAATTAAGAAGGCAAACGGAATACTGTCCTTCATTTGCTAGAGAGATGTAGTGTAAAAATAAGGAGGTTATGCTGCAGATGTATAGGGTGCTGGTGAGGCACACCTGGCATATTGTATACAGTTTTGGTCTCCTTACTTAAGGGATGTACTAGCATTGGAGGGGCGCAGAGGAGGTTCACTAGGTCGATGATGGAGTTGAGAGGCTTGGCTTATGAGGGGGGATTGAGTAAACTGGGACTACACTCAATGGAATTTAGAAGAATGAGGGTGATCTTAAAGAAACAGATAAAATTACAAAGGGAATAGATATCATAGAAGAAGGGAGATTGTTTCCACTAGTGGGTGAAACTAGAACTAAGGGGCATAGCCTCAAATAAAGGGGAGAAGATTTAGGACTGAGTTAAGAAGGAATTTCCTCATCTAAAGAGTTTGTGAATCTGTGGAATTCCCTGCCTAGTGAAGCAGTTGAGGCTACTTTATTGAATGCTTTCAAGGCAAAAGTAGATTTTTGAACAGTAAAGGAATTAAGACTTATGGTGAACAGGTTGGTAAGTGAAAGCGAGTCCATGAAAAGATCAGCCATGATCCTATTGAATGGCAGAACAGGCTCTACGGGCCAGATGGCTTACTCCTGCTCCTATTTCTTGTGTTCTTATGTAGGATTCACTGCCCTGCCCAGCCCAGCATTACTGAGATATTATGTAAGGCAGCATTAATTCCCTTTGATGATGTTTCCCTTGTCAATGTTTATGTATTTCAAATTTCCAACATGTGCTGTATTTTGCTTTTCTGTCGTCATTGCTGAGTGTAGTCAGCACAGGCTGGGAGCTGAAGCTTGTAGTCTTGTAGTCTCTAACAAAAACAGAAATTGCTGAAGAAACTCAGGAAGCCTGGCAGCATTTGTGGAGAGAAAGCAGAGTTAATGTTTCAAGTCTAGGGACCCAAATTCAGAATTTTTAGTCTCTCTTCGTTGCATGCATTTTTGACCTATTTGGGTGCTCAGCAGAGGGAACCGTTTAGTTCCCTCAAAAGAGTAGTCAAAACCTCTTTACTATCACTGATGATTATAGCGACAATGAAGATATATTTAAATCTGCAATAATATTTAAACAGGTACATATTCAATCTTTGGTTCCTGCTATTTACAAGCCACTTATGTATGATGTTCCTTGTTTTAGCAATGTAGAAACTCCATAAGTATCTAATCAGTAATTACATAACACCTATTTGAAATAATAATGTAAAAAATAATTGTGATGCTCAACAGCATATAAGAAATGAATTGTATTAGAAAACACTTAGTAACTGTTGCTCAGCTGTTTTTGTTTGAGGTTGTTCATGATTTTAGGATTTTGAAAAGTTTTGAGTAACTGTTTCAATTTTAAAAGGAAATGCAAGTTTAATCAGCAGGTAAACGTCAAAACGTTAAAGTAACCAGAAGAGCACAGAAGAAATAATAAATGAGCAGTTTGGATTTTTTTCAGATAGCCAGTCCAATGATGGAACAATTGCAATTATTTATGTCATGGCTGAGTGAACACCAAGAAATTTATACAAGATGTCCATTTTAGAATGAGGTCTTACGTATTCAGGTCTTGGGTATGCTGTTATAAACCATATTTAATTGTTTTACACTTTCTGATAATGAAGCTGCAAGTTGGAAACTGAACAGACATAAAGAAGTGACACAACAATGTTTGCTCTCCTTCAGTAAAAATGCATATCATAGTGGGTATATAAGGGAGGAAGAACGAAACCAGTCAAAAAATTGAAGTATTCTGGAAATAGTGAAAAGAGAGCCAATCAGATTTGCAACAGGGTAGTTGTATTTTAAATGAAGGAATACAATGTCAGTGAAGACCATTTCTTTACTTCATTCACTCCACCTGATGTGGCATTACTGGCTGGGCTGGCATTTAGTGCCCATCTCTAGTTGCCTTTGAAAAGGTGGTGCTGAGCTGCCTTTTGGGTTGAGCTGAGAAATTCCTCCACTTGAAGGGATGTGAATCTAGAAATGATCAACTCCAGTTAATCAATTGCTGAGTATGCTCAAGACTTTTGGACTGCAGGCATATGGGTGTTAAGAAAGAAAGTGAAGTGGACATTGACGATAGGTTATGATCTTATTAAATGGCAGAGATGTTGGAAGAGCTATATGGCCTACTGCTGCTCTTACTTGTTAAATCTATTTAAAGGAAATGTTTGAAAGCAGAATGGAGGCAGTTGGGTGAATTTTATTTTGAGGGGGTATTCCAGAAGGTCTCCTCTGATGTGAAACTGTGTGTGTGTGTGTGTGTGTGTGTGTGTGTGTGTGTGTGTGTGTGTACTAGCCTATGATTGTTATCAGCTCAATTCTGATGTGTCAGTCTCCGAAATATAACTATTTTAAATGGCCACTTCTGTTCAAGCCTCAAACCTGACAGAGTCAAGAACATCTTTTGTGCCACTTCAATAGTCAGTTTTTGGAGTAAACTGATTTTGTCTTTAGTTAACCTTTTTGCTATCCTTAAACAAGTGGTGTTTACTGGAGTTGCTACATAATCTGTAGGTACTGGGCTACAGTTGTCTCCTCATTTTGGATTTACACATAATTTCTTCCTTTAATTATACAACTCTCTATCTACTGAGGAAATATAGTAAATAGCTTATGCTTAGATACCAAATTTGTACCATTGTTAGCTCTATGATACTGATGTTTTCCAAAACATAATCTGTTCTATCAAAAGCACGTCAGTTTGCATCAATATATTTCTAGTTTAATTTTTTTAAACTTTATCCTATTTCATTTTTATTCTACTAACAATGAATGCCAATCTTCTGAAAGGTTTCCTTTCTGTCCAAAACACGTGCAAGCAGCAATTTCTCATGGTAAAATTCTTACAAAAGTTTTGCCTCTAATATTAATACATTAGAAAAGCTGTGGAGAGTTTGGCGGGCAACAATGATGCAGAAATTCAGCGAGTGAAAGATGGCGCTCAGAAGGAGATACTTCAGGTTAAACAGCTCCTCGGTAACCAGATCCATCTTTTAGAGGAGGTGAGTCTGTTTTTATATTTTATCAATTTATTTATGCCAAAGACCAAACAAGCTTCATGCCTATTTGGCAAGACATTTTTGGGCAAGGTAGTTCTGTGATTGTAATGGTTTGTTCTATTATGAGTCATTGTAGCTGAGACATTCATTATAAATCACCTAGGTATGGCACCTACCGAAGTAGTTATTGTTTCTGGCACTGCCACTAATTTCTCATTGCTACTTTCACCTCTTACTCTGTTACAATTTTCTTTTCTTGGTTTTCATTTTGAGGCATACTTTTAGGGTAGAGCATGTAATGGATTCAGCACAACTTCTGGATTTGTGCATGTTCAGGGAGTACTCTCTCTCTCTGTCTCTAATGTGGCACAAATAAACTCAACCATCCATTATACCCAAGTTCATGGTCCTGAATTTTTGAGGGGCTGGTGCTGATGTCCTGAACTATGTTTAGCAGGAGGCCTGTTGAACATCTGTAAATAAATATTGACATGTATAATTGGGGGTCACTGTTCTTTCACTAAAGTTGGAATAAGCAATCAGGACATATTTCATGAAAATTCAGGGCCCATCAATTTTCTTTTACATCCGAATGTAAAAATTAAGAGGAGTAGGTCATTCAACCTCTTGAGCCTACTCCACCATTTAGTAAGTTCATGGCTAATTTGATTGCAACCTCAAATTCGCATTCTTGACTTTCAAGGATATTGTTTCATCCTGTTGCTCAACAGGAATCTATCCATCTCTAACGTAAACATATTCAAGAACTCTGTTTCCACCATCTTTTCAGAAAGAGAGTTCCAAAGACTCATGACCCTCTGAGGGGAAAAAAAAACATCTTGCCTAATCTCTCTTTGAAGTGGACCACCTTTGTTTTAAACAGTAATGTTCTTTTGCTGGACTACAATCCCATTGAACAATAGAATTTCCATTTTCTCTTATTTTTTAATAGGTGAAAGTGCATTTTTGCTGGGTGGGAAAGGGAAGATCTTTTATGATTATTGAAGATGAAATTTACTTTAATAATACCAACTCTTTCCCTTTTTTTGTAACTAGGATGTTAAAACCACCCAAGCAGAATTGGAAAAGATGGCTGCTATTGCAGAGCAGGAGAAGATCAGGAGTATGAATCTGGAGAAACAGATTTTGACAATTAACAGACAGAACCATATGGGGTCACCTTCACTTCCAGAGCAAAGCAAGAACACCACCGAGACTGAACAGTCAGTTATTTTAAATCTTGTTTTTCCAACGTCAAAACATCCTTTAAAAGGAAGGGACTAGATTACACAATGAAGAGGCAGAGGGCACATCAGTTTACTCTCTAAAAGTGAGGGTTAAATTGTACTTCTCAGGAGTGCGTCATTTACACCCTAAATGATGAAGTTAGTTTACACAATAGATGAGATGGAGCAGGTTAACTTTATAAAAGAATGGGATCCGATAACACCATGAAGAGTCATGAAAGTTAACCTGCAGATACAGCAAGGAATGTGGAATGCAGATAGTATAATAGATTTTATTACAAAGGGGTTTGAGTACAAGAGTAAAGAAGTCTTATTGTAATTATTCAGCATTGATTAACTGGCTAAATGGCCTCATTCTGTACCCTAATGAATCTGACTTACTTTTCTTTATGTCTTGGTATTATTCATTTAATTTTTGCAACATTTGAAATTCAGTAAATACGTTGCCAGTTTTGCTCGGAACATATACTCAACTGAATTTATAGAAAAATATTAGTCTCTTTAATTTACATCTCTACACGTCAGTGACTAAACAAGGAATGGTCAATATGTGGTAAATACAACACTGTCTTCAAAGCACAGCTGCCAGTGTATGATGAAACTAATCAATAGCACAATATTCAATAAATTTAGGGATTAGTGTATCTGGCTATTTTAATTCACACTTTCCATGGAATGAGAGTTTAACTTTGTGGAACATCATGTAAAGTTGTGCTTTTATTTTAGGTTAATTGAGCAGCTAAATGAAACAGTAAAGAACAAAGATGTTCTTATTGATCAGCTTCAAAGTGAAAAGGCAAAGATGCAGGGCAGTCATGTGAATCCTTCAGAAAAGATCCAGGAACTTACAGAGGCTCTTTTGAAGAAAGCTGGTGAATCTGAAGTATGTGACTTTTTTTTTATATACACTAATTCCAGTAGTAATATAAAGTAAAGAGTAAACTCCAAAGTGGAATTTATTTAAAAAATATTATTTGAACATCATAAATCGTCATTTTCTGTGTCAGTGTTCTTCAGCCCTTAATATTCTGTGGAAGTGCCTTAATGGACTGGCAGGTACAAGATGGGTATGGCTTCATAGCTTTCCTCGAGTCATAAATTAAATCCCAATATGTAATGACTGGAGACTCTCACTGTTTTTTGGATTGAAGGAAGAATTATTTCAGGGCTAATTGCATGACTTTTCGACTCTTTTTTTTGGGACCTGATGTTTTAGCTGAGGAAACTAGTTACAATATTTGTTTGTATCAGATCAATATTGTCGACATGATTTTAGTTTTGGAAAATAAAACACAGGTGCTTGATTTTACTTCCTTTTCAAAATTGGAAATAATACCAGAGACTTAAATTAGTACCTATCTCTTTCACTACTAATTATGTTCCTAAAACCAGCCCGTACTGTCTGGAGATTGCTTTGAAGTGTTGCTCATCTTTAGTCATACAGAAGAAAATCAGGATAAAACTCTACACGTGCTGCTACACTATTTGGAGTTGACTGTTACAAGAAGCTCTTGAATTTTCTAATCAACCTGTTCAGAGAGATGTTATGACACACCTCTGGAGCAGTGGGACTTGATACTTGGCCTCCTTATGTTGTCATTGTCTACAGGAATAGTGCCAGAAGACTGGAGACTAGCAAATGTTGTCCCCTTGTTCAAGAAGGGGAGTAGAGACAACCCTGGTAATTATAGACCAGCGAGCCTCACTTCGGTTGTGGGTAAAGTGTTGGAAAGGATTATAAAAGATAGGATTTATAATCATCTAGAAAGGAATAATTTGATTAGGGATAGTCAACACGGTTTTGTGAAGGGTAGGTCGTGCCTCATAAACCTTACTGAGTTCTTTGAGAAGGTAACCAAACAAGTGGATGAGGGTAAAGCGGTTGATGTGGTGTATATGGATTTCAGTAAAGCGTTTGATAAGGTTCCCCATGGTAGGCTATTGCAGAAAATACGGAGGCATGGGATTGAGGCTGATTTAGTGGTTTGGATCAGAAATTGGCTAGCTGTAAGAAGACAGAGGGTGGTGGTTGATGGGAAATGTTCATCCTGGAGTTCAGTTACTAGTGGTGTACCTCAAGGATCTGTTTTGGGGCCACTGCTGTTTGTCATTTTTATAAATGACCTGGATGAGGGCGTAGAAGGATGGGTTAGTAAATTTGCGGATGACACCAAAATCGGTGGAGTTGTGGATAGTGCGGAAGGATGTTGCAGGTTACAGAGGGACATAGATAAGCTGCAGAGCTGGGCTGAGAGGTGGCAAATGGAGTTTAATGTGGAAAAGTGTGAGGTGATTGACTTTGGAAGGAGTAACAGGAATACAGAGTACTGGGCTAATGGTGAGATTCTTGGTAATGTGGGTAAGCAGAGAGATCTCGGTGTCCATGTGCATAGATCACTGAAAGTTGCCACCCAGGTTGATAGCGTTGTTAAGAAGGCATATGGTGTGTTAGGTTTTATTGGTAGAGGGATTGAGTTTCGGAGCCATGAGGTCATGTTGCAGCTGTACAAAACTCTGGTGCGGCCGCACTTGGAGTATTGCGTACAGTTCTGGTCACCGCATTATAGGAAGGATGTGGAAGCATTGGAAAGGGTGCAGAGGAGATTTACCAGGATGTTGCCTGGTATGGAGGGAAGGTCTTATGAGGAAAGGCTGAGGGACTTGAGGCTGTTTTCGTTAGAGAGAAGAAGGTTAAGAGGTGACTTAATAGAGACATACAAGATGATCAGAGGATTAGATAGGGTGGACAGTGGGAGCCTTTTTCCTCGGATGGTGATGGCTAGCACGAGGGGACATAGCTTTAAATTGAGGGGTGATAGATATAGGACAGATGTCAGAGGTAGGTTCTTTACTCCGAGAGTAGTAAGGGTGTGGAATGCCCTGCCTGCAAATGTAGTAGACTCGCCAACTTTAAGGGCATTTAAATGGTCATTGGATAAACATATGGATGATAATGGAATAGTTTAGGTTAGATGGGCTTCAGATTGGTTTCACAGGTCGGCGCAACATCGAGGGCCGAAGGGCCTGTACTGCGCTGTAATGGTCTATGTTCTATGTTCTATGTACTAACACCTGAAGAAGGAGTGAGGCTCCGAAGGCTGTGTTTTCAAATAAACCTGTTGGACTGTAATCTGGTGTTGTGAGATTTCTGACAATGTAAATCTGTGCCAATCGACAGTGTTACGCAAAGGAATTTTTCCCCAAAATGTTCACCACTTTCCTTTATCTACTCACAACTTTGTTTTTTTTTGATTGATCAAGAATACCTTGACCCACATTTGAGCCTAAAAGCAATATACTCGTCACGGTTCAATGTTTACTCAGTTGATTGAACCATGTGCCCATCCTGCTGAGCCTCTGGGGTCAGGGTTTTATCTGAAGAAGAGGAAGTGGTGAATTCAGATGCCAGGCATTAGCATTAGAGGGACATAGCATAATAGGGGCTTTTCAGTGTGAATTTCCATTCTCCTAAGAGTTCTAGCACTGGCTGGAAGGTTATGTAGATACATTGGTACTGTTTAATTCTAACAATCCAACTGTGGCCAAGATTGAAATCTACGCCCTCAGCAATGTTTCATGGCTGCAAGTCTGTGTGGTTTCATAGGATGTCTTTGCCAACCTGAACACAATGGGCTTGTGATACACAACTGCGTTTTAGCATGATCCTGCTGCAGACTACCTTCCCCCTCACTCTTTCAACATGTGCATTCTCATTCTGAAGTGCAGGAAAGATTGGTGCAATCTGAGTGCAATTACCACAACGTTTTTGTTTACAGCTGACACACAGAATCTACACAACCTCTCCTAAACAGAACAAGATCAATCCAAGCTTTATCTGTTAAAAAAAATATCTAATTTGTCCTGCCGTAGCATTTTTAAACAATCTTAGGAAACAATTATTTTTTATTCATTTGTGGGATGTGGGCTTCGCTGGCTGGCCAGCATTTCTTATCCATCCCTAGTTGCCCTTCAGAAGGTGGTGGTGAGCTGCCTTCTTGAACCACTGCAGTCCTCCTGCTGTGGGGTGACCCACAATGCCATTAGGGAGGGAATTCCAGGATTTTGACCCAGCGGCAGTGAAGGAATGGCAATATATTTCCAAGTCAGGATGGTGAGTGGCTTGGAGGGGAACTTTGGAGGTGGTGGTGTTCCCATATGTCTGATGCCCTTCTCCTTCTAAATGAAAGTGGTCGTGGGTTTGGAAGACGTTATCTGAGGATCTTTGGTGAATTTCTGCAATGCATCTTGTAGGTAGTACACACTGCTACTACTGAGCGTCAGTGGTGGAGGGAGTGGAT